ATTGCAAAGCACAAGGAAGCTGCTAGGAACAAAGGGCATCGCTACTAGGAGCAAGGACGCTACTAGTAGCTCCTGGCCTTACTACTACTAGGAAGAAGCTACTAGTTACTAGTAACAAAAGGCATTGTTTGCTTGGCAGTGAACATTCCCTTTCACCTTGAGGTCGTCTGAGGCACCATCTGTTGAGCTGCTGTGCGCTCTCCTGACACTCATTGTGCTCTATGCCACAAAAAGAAGCTACTAGTGCTACTAGTAGTAACCATAAGCTGCTAGTAACAAGTGCATCGCTTCTAGTAACAAGTGCCTTACTAGTAGTAACAAGAAGCTACTAGGAAAAAGTGCATCGCTACTAGTAACAAGTGCCTTACTAGTAGTAACAAGAAGCTATTAGAAAAAAGTGCATCGCTTCTAGTAACAAGTGCCTTACTAGTAGTAACAAGAAGCTACTAGGAACAAATGCATCGCTTCTGGTAACAAGTGCCTCACTAGTAGTAACAAGAAGCTACTAGGAACAAGTGCATCGCTTCTAGTAACAAGTGCCTCACTAGTAGTAACAATAAGCTACTAGAAACAAGTGCATCGCTTCTAGTAACAAGTGCCTCACTAGTAGTAACACGAAGCTACTAGGAACAAGTGCATCGCTTCTAGTAACAAGTGCCTTACTAGTAGTAACAAGAAGCTACTAGGAACAAGTGCATCGCTACTAGTAACAAGTGCCTTACTAGTAGTAACAAGAAGCTACTAGGAACAAGTGCATCGCTTCCAGTAACAAGTGCCTTACTAGTAGTAACAAGAAGCTACTAGGAACAAGTGCATCGCTTCTAGTAACAAGTGCCTCACTAGTAGTAACAAGAAGCTACTAGGAACAAGTGCATCGCTTCTAGTAACAAGTGCCTCACTAGTAGTAACAAGAAGCTACTAGTAGCAAGTGCATCGCTTCTAGTAACAAGTGCCTTACTAGTAGCAACAAGAAGCTAATAAGAAACAAGTGCATCGCTACTAGTAACAAGTGCCTTACTAGTAGTAACAAGAAGCTACTAGTAACAAGTGCACCGCTTTTAGCAACAAGTGCCTTACTAGTAGAAACAAGAAGCTACTAGGAAAAAGTGCATCGCTTCTAGTAAAGTCGTCCCGAACTGATCTGATCGGTATCGTTTCGTGCGCTCTCCTGACGGCATCGCTGCAACTCCTCATCGGTCATCCCCAAAGTCACGGTGAGGCAAAGGCAGTATTCCACCTGTAACCCGCTCAAAAGTAAGCAAAAGGCAACTGTCTTAACTGTTCTCACAAGTGAAGCAAGAAAATCTCAAAGGCTCCGGCGCGGCTCACCAAAGACTCATAAGCGCAAGCGTTGCACCGAACCTGGGAGCCTCAGTGAGATAAATTCAATCGATCAGCCATGGCCTCCAACCTAAGAGCAAATGCCTCCAACCTAATTGCGATGGTCTCCAACCTACTAGCGATTGCCTCGTGCCCTACCTGCCCTCTCAGATCAAACGCGGTGGGGTGTTGCGAACGTGCCAGTCCAAGCGGCCCATGATCCCACCGAAGACGTGCCCGATCATGCTGCTTGCCTGTCGACAGCAAAGCCGACTCAGACCGGCTTGAAGGCCGCCTTTGAAGGCAAAGCCAGGTAAAGCCACAAAGCAAGATGCAAACATGTTACGTTAGTAAGCTTCTTGCTCTCACAGTAGTAAGGCCAGGAGCCCCTAGTAGCGTCCTTGCTCCTAGTAGCGATGCCTTTGTTACTTGTAGCTTCTTGCTCTCACAGTAGTACGGCCAGGAGCCCCTGGTGGCGTCCTTGCTCCTAGTTATATACTTGTAGCTTCTTGCTCCTAGTAGTACGGCCAGGAGCCCTTGCTCCTAGTAGCGATGCCTTTGTTACTTGTAGCTTCTTGCTACTAGTAGCCACGAAGCGACATTATTTCAACCAAAGGCTGCTCTCACCTCGAGTTGTTCTTTTTCTGAATACCTGACGAACACGCAAGACTCATTTCGTCCAGATGCAAGACAATCTGGTCAATCGTCAAGCACTTGGTCCGCAAAACACTTCTTGCTCTACTCACACTTGACAGCCTGGTGTCTTCATTTGTTACTATATAGCTTCTAGCTACTAGTACTACTAGCGATGCCCCTGCTACTAGTAGATTTATTGTTACTGAGCCCCTAGCAGCGTCCTTGCTCCTAGTGGTGATGCCCTTTGCTCCGTTCGTAGCTTAGTTGACAGCCGCACTTGTCACTTCACCCATTGACACGTCTACAGCTGTCGCTGAATGGCGCACCCCAACTTCCAGCAGTCTGTGCCCGTCCCATCGCCAACCTGTCACATGAGAACATAAACAAAAAATCACATCCGTTTCACCAATCTCAAAAGGAACCTATATTAGAAATGGCCTCCAACCTAATACCATCTAATACCGTTGGATATTCATGACCCTCAAAGCGTCTTTTCACGGTCATTTCTGTATTTACGGGCCATTCAGGTGGTCACTCCAATTGGAACTGTGCATTCCCTACTAGGGTGGAGGCCATCGCTACTAGGATGAAGGCCACTGCTATCAGGTTGGAGGCCATAGCTACTACGGTGGAGGCCATCGGTTCGCTCCCCCTGCCTTGAGACACCCAGCTAACCACCCTTGCGTCAAAGTCATGAACGCTTCGTGTGGGTCTGCTTGACGTCCAAAGGCAAACTCCTCGCTGGCCTCGAGAATCTGTGTGCAGCAAACGTTGCATTTTTGTTTATTTAGTAACAAGTGCATCGCTACTAGTAACAAGTGCCTTACTAGTAGTAACAATGTTTGCTGTTAGAAACTAGTGCCTTAGTTCCTTTGCTCCGTTCGTAGGGTCCTTTGTTCCTAGTAGTACGACCAGGAGCCCCGTTCGTAGCGTCCGATCGCTCCTAGCGATGCCAGGAGCTCCTAGTAGTGAAGCGTTCTTGTTCACAGCTAAAGTAGTTCAGACCAGAGGCGAGCAAAAAGCTTTTTGTGGGGTGATGACGTTCCAGACTTACATCAACAAGCAAAACCCTTGTGGTCAAAACCATTGACACTGAGAGCGCACTCTATGCGACGAAACTGGCAGGCCTCTGCAATCAAACGCGTTAGCTGCCAAGGCGGATCCACCTGACACAGTTGACTCAGTCTACTCCCAATAGGGCCTCCAACCTAATAATCTTGTTACTACTAGTAAGGCACTTGTTCCTAGTAGCTTCTTGTTAG